GAGTGCGGGGAGAGCGGCGGCTCAGGGTTACGGCGGGCGCCTTCCCTGGGGAGGGCGGGCATTGTCTCTGAAGGCCTCGGCTGCTGTGCCCGGGACCTGCCACGGGGGAGGAGCAGGTGAGTTCTGCTCTGAGCCCACCCCAGACCGTGTTTCTTCAGAGACACCCTGAGCGCACCCAGCCCAGGGGGGCACTGCCCTGAGCACGGCCTCGGGGCCTCTGGGTCCAGGCAGGGCTGCGTGTGGGGACGGGATGGGGGAAGGCAGTCTGGGGTCTCACCCCCATTCATTTCATGGCGTGTGGCTGAGAGGGTCAGGGATTGAGGAGGACCACCCAGGAGCAGGTGGTGACTCTGGCCCATCTGAGACTTCAGGGGTGGCAGTAGGAGTCCGCAGCAAGGCCCCACTCTGCCCTGGACCCTGCGGGGGGAGCCCGCCTCTGCCGAGCAATGCAGAGGCCCCTCTGAAGACCACTCGAATCAGTCCACACTGAACTCCCCATGTGATGCCCCAGAACGCCCTTTGCCGGGAGGGCTGGTTCCCGGTTCTGGCCAGCGAACTGTGACATCTCCTGGGACCGGGCACAGGTGCCTGCCCTGGAAGACCACCTTGCTCCTCCTGGATGGCCCCCAGGCAGGTGTGACAGCCGGGCGCAGTGCGGCCAGGGGTGAGCAGAGGTGGGGGCGGGGGGCCAGTGAGCAGGCTCCTTCGTGGTCATCGGGAGCACACGTAGGGCGGCAGGGAGGACCTCCATGGAGCTGTGGGGAGGTGGAGCACGGTCCCTAAGAACGCTGGAAAATGAGCCTACCTGGGGACACGGAAATGGGAGGCACGGTCCCTAAGAACGCTGGAAAATGTGCCTACCTGGGGACACGGAAATGGGAGGCACGGTCCAGGCTCCTGCTCAGCGGCCCAGTCAGCTCCTGTCGCACTGCCTCACTCCCTCTTTCTGGTGAGTGCGCCCACCCTCTGGCAAACTGAACCGGGCTCGGGTCCTGCAGGAACCGCCACTGTAGACCAGGAGCGTCAGGCTGAAGTTTCTCCGAGGGGCCCCTGGCAGGCTGCCTGCGGTGGCCGGGAGCTTCCGGTGGAGCAGAGGTGGACGAGGGCTCCACAGACCGCGCTGCCTGGGCACCGGCGTGCCGTCGGGCGTCTGGAGCGGTGCGCTGACGGCAGAGGTGAGCAGGGCGCTCCTGTTCTGGCTCTGCCAGGTTTTGCCAATCCTAGGTGTGGGGACACCAGGCCGCGGGCGGGTCCGCAGAGCAGGGCAGGGGCTGTGGCTGGAGCCTCCCAGCGGAAGTAGCTGCAGGTGGAGTGGGGCATGGCCTATGAGGCTGCTCAGGTGCGCACCGAGAGCCCGCCCTCCTGTGGCCCTCCAGAAGGGGCCCACGGAGCCCACGTGGGGTGGGTGACAGGTGGGCAGCTGCCATCTGTCTCTCCTGA